AAAAAGCCTGTATCCTTTAGCTGACATCATACCCTATCCCCTTCCTGGGCAAACCATTGGTCTACTTTTTAATCTCCAGATTTGCTTAATGTTTCATTTAAGTGGAATCATATGCTTTGTGGCCTTTTTGTGAGTGGCTTCTTTCATTTGGCATATTTTTTGGGGGGTCTTTTTGAGGTAGGGTTTCTTTGTAGTCCCAGCAAGCCTGGAACTTACTATGTAAACCAGGCTGGCCTTGAACTCACAGAGATCCGCCTGCCTCTGCCCTCCAAGTACTGGGATTAAAGGTGTGTGTCACCATGCCTAGCTGGTGTAAGATTTTTAATGTCTGTATTTTATAGCATGTATAACTAATTCATTTCTTTTTAATTTTAATTTTTTAATTTATTGTTTTTGAAAATTTTATGTGTATGAGTGTTTTACCTGCATGTATATAAGTGCAGCACATGCATGCAATGCCTGTGGATGCCAGAAGAGGGCATCAGATCCCCTGGGGTTAAGGACGGGTATTAGCCACCATATGGGTCCTGGGAGCCAAACCTGGATTCTCTGCAAGAGCAGCCAGTGCTCTTAACCACTGAGCTATCTCTCCAGCCTCTAACCTGTTTCTTTTTATGACTACTGTTCTGTTCTGTGGACATGCTGTTTTTAATCAGTTTATCTATTGATGGGCATTTAGGTTGTTCCTACTTTTTGGCTATTGTCAGAAATGTTGCTGTGAACATTCGTGTACCAGTTTATGTGTGGGTTTATGTGTGGCTATGTTCTCACTTCTCCTGGGTGTGGAATTGCTCGGTCATGTGATAACTCTGTTTGGTCTCTTAAAGAGCTGCCAGACTGCTTTCCAAGAGGGTTACAATATCCTACTTTCCCACCAGCGCTGTGCAAGGATCTCAGTTTCTGCACACTTTTTTTTTAAAAAACTTTTTTTGGGATTGATCAATTTTTATTTTATGTGTATGAGTGTATTGCATGTATGCTAAGTGCACCAGTGTCATGTATTGCCCACGGAGGTCAGAAGAGAGCATCAGATCTGGAATTGGCATTAACAGACAGTTGTTAGCTGCCGTGTGGGTGCTGGGAACCAAACTCAGGTTCTCTGTAAGAGCAGCCAGTGCTCTTAACCACTGAGCCGTCTTTCCAGCCCCAGTTTCTGCGCATTCTTGAGAACATTCATGATTGTTGGTCTCTGCCAATGCAGCCATCCTGTGGAAGAGAAGTGGTATCTGTTTGGGGATTTGATTTGCATTGCCCCTGTGGCTAAGGACGTTGAGTGTCTCATGTGCTTAATGACCACTTGGGTGTTCTTACTAAAATTCCTTCTGGGAGGTGCAAAGGATATTCAGCCCCCTCCTTCCTCTGTCCTTATGACAAACAGAGGTCTAATTTCTCCAAACTACAGTTTGGGGAACCAAAGAGTTTATTTGGGCTCACAGAGCAGTGGGTGAGGGGTTACTTACAGGACTGTGGGTGCTCCTCTCCTAAGGCCACACTGGAAAGTCTCCATTCAGGCATGGATCGTGATTTCTCAGCAGCCATACAGAATGGAGAGAGAGAGAGAGAGAGAGAGAGAGAGAGAGAGAGAGAGA